TCTAGATTCCTGAGCGCTTAGTTGACGAGAGTCCGACAATGTCGAGTTGGTACTTTATGGCCTCATCAACTAGAAACTGCTCTTTCCGCCTTAGCGAGGATATATTCCAATCTCCGACCTTAAGGTCCCACTATCAGTATCGTTCTCTTGAAACTTTGTTTGACTTGCTACAACAGCACTGCGCTGCCTGCTTCCTCTATTCAGCACGGATAGGGCTCCGTTGGTGACTGACATCTTTGGCTGGCGTTGCCGTGCTGCTACACCTCTAGCTGCGAGAATTCGTGGAGGTGGCTCTGAACACTGAACTGTGGTAGTCTGACTTATTACCCCAACTGCCTGTGCGGCTCTCGGTAACCGGGTGACAACCGATCCGATATAACGCTCGATTACGGCAATAGCAATACCATGTTGGGCAGGTGTCTACGTTTTACTGGAGACTTCGACACTTCTCCCAACTTTCGTCTTTTCTCTGCCGTGTTGGGTGAGAGTTACGATGTAACTGATATTCTTTACGTACAGGAGATAATCAAGTCTTGATCTCATGGGAGAAGTTCAAAATGTGGAACTTTTGTTTAGTATTGTGGCCTACAAACTAGGGCTTAGCTTCTAGCATTCACAAGGTAAAGGAATGTTGCATTTTTTTGCAAGTCATTACGTATATGCAATTAAAGCGCTGTGTGCAGTAACAGCAGATTCACTTCACTCATTAGTCAGGTTTGATTTCTCGGCCAAATTGATCAAATTTCTACAGCTTCAAACATGAGCCTTCCATAAAATGGGAGGCTTCATGAAATAGGAGTTGCTCGTTTGCTTCAGTTATGCAGGCCAAATTAAATTTTTCCTTATAGTGGTATACAGTCGCATCCTTCATGAAAATTTATCTAGTTGATAAACGAAAGTATGTTACTATCGGTGAATGGCAACGCTTCTACTCTACAAGTTCAATTCATAAAATATCTTGAGATACGCATTAATGATGGCTCCAAATTTTCAAATGAAGGGTCATTTTCACCGCCATAGAGGTATAGAAAGCCTTCTTTAATTATTACTAGTGCTATCCTATTACAGGCATATTTAATTTCGTTATCTGAAGTGCGACCTCCAAATATCTTATATTCCATTTTCTTGATATACTCCAGAATATCAGGGGATTACAAAGTACTTCATTTACGTTCTGCTTATCTCAGTCATCAGCGAAATAAAAACATATTTGCAAGTTATTCCAGCTGAAAGTTTCACAGTTAAAGCTTATTTCGAACTTTTGTCGAAACCTTAGAAGAATTTAATCACGAACAATATTCAGCCGCCTGTTGTGGACACCACGGTACTACGCGCAGGGTTAAAGCAATCAAACTCAGGCATAAATTGCGTATAATAATGCTAGCTTCAGAACGGACGTCATGAATATGCAATGTTTTCACTCTGAATTTTTCAGACTTTGACTATTCACTGGCGGACGGATGACATTTTGTCTTCGCTATTGGATATCATACTTTCAGTCGACTTTAATGCTCCCTGTTCTATTCGGAGCGCTGAAGCAGCTGCTTCAAGAGGCTTTTCAGCAGTCGTGGTTGTTCGTTATATTACATATGCATAAGATCATGCATCAGGCAATTTCAGGATTTTCCGCTGGTTTTACTCACAAATTGTCATGTTTGTTCAGACGGTACAAAGCATTACTGAGAAGACTTTATTGGATTTTCTTCGAGAATTAATTAATACGCAAGGGATTTTAAATCGATAGTCTGCTTAAACAAAAGTGGCTTGAACAATACAGGGAGCGTTGTCCATTTCGGTTACCGCATTCTCTTTAGCTGCCAAAGTTGAGATTCATAAGAGGTCTTAACGGTTTTTGTGAAAATTCTGAAGTATACATTCTATTGTGTCATCAAACTGCTTGTTTTTGTCGCTGCCTCTAATGCGAGGTGGACACTATAGTAGGATTTCAGAGAGTAACCTTAACCAGAGCTGAATTGTGTTGTCGTTTAACCCTGCATATTCTTCAGAAATTCATGGAAAATCTCCCAAACCATATAGCAGAAAACATTAAGAACTATGAAAAGACAATGAAGCAGTAACCAACAAGGCTGTCATGAATGATGAGCGTATGACAGTGACTCCTCTTTAGGCATGTAATACATCGCACACGTATAACAATACATTCATGTACACAGGAAGAGAATAATCTCAGAATTGACAAGGTATCAGTTCCGAACTGGACACAATTTATTTTAGGTGCCCCATGTCTTCATTTCAAATTAAACAGACAGATGAAGAAAACCACTTCCTCAAGAGCCGCACAAGGCACCGCAGCAGCACCAGCTGATGAAACGTACAGCTAGGTCGCGCAGAGTGTGTTTCTATGATCAATATTCTAATCGACACAACAAAAATACCAGTTACTTAAAATTCACAATAGCTCATGCATCTGTTGCCATCACTACTTCAAACTACTTGCAGAAATGCCATGTCTCCGTTTTCAGACGCCATTGTATTGGCTGAATACTTTTGCTTCGAACGCAGACCGGCATCGATCTTATTCATCAAGATTTCTCGCTGGCCTCACAGAATAATGACTAGGGTCACACTTGGGTTCGTTTCAACATCATTAAGTCGTGGGATGGAGAACGACTTATCCTCAATTCACTGATCAGGAGGGTTGACATTCTTTTTCAGCTAGTGTTAAATGAGGAGTGTGTCCTGGAGAAAATAATGTCATTCTTTGTGTGGTACTGCCTTGCTGTTCCTGGCTGCTATTAATGTCTCTCAGAGGGGATGTGGAACGGCTTCATAGAGCTAGACCAAACTCAGGAATCGTAAGTATAACGTTTCGTGGTTCTGTGGCATAACGGACAAGAGAAACGAAACGGAAAGGTGACTTCAGCAAACACGAAGGTCAATGCAATGCTCCTGGTTTTCTGTGTACACTGACTGACCGACCGACCAATCGACCAGCCGACCGACCGACCGAACAATCAGGTTGAGGCAGTAAAGTGCACATGTCGGAAAGTTTCTGCTTCGCAGTTTCGCATACATCACGTGAGCAGTTCGTGCATGTTTACGAAACGACGTCAAGAAGCGCTACGCCTTTCATCAGCCCCCAGAGTTTGTGCGTAGTATAGC